TATTAATCCGGCGCACCCGCGTTGCACATAGAATTTTCAATAACGCTTTTAAGAACTCTCCGAAACCACTCTACCCCTAACCCGACACTCCCTCGAAAATGCATAGGGGTGCACTGTCGCGATATGTCTGCATTGATCCTCAAACATCAATTTTGAGAATCACGTTCTTACATCAATCTGTTACGACATTAAGAGAAAATAATCATACGGACGTTCTTACAATCTGTTACGACATTAAGAGGAAATAATCATACGGACAATTAACGAAGACTACACGTCATATAACATACGTCAATTGTGCAAAGTAAAGATGCTATCGAATTTATTGCTTTAGACTACTTTGTATGTATTCAAAGTAATCAAACAATATTTTCATACTAATATTCTTATTAATACATAATAAGACTTTGATCGTATGTAACATGTATAAATTGGCTATTAAATAAAGTCAAGAACATGTGTTTACCTTAAGACACTTAATATATTACGCATAATTATTCGAATTAACATAAATCCTTCTTAAAAATATCTTTTTTGGAGTTTAAGTGGGTGTTTCTTTGCGGACAGAAATTTGCACCTTAATGTGTCTTCTTTTGCATGCACGTGTATCTAATTTCTTATTCATTCACAAGTGGTCGGATATACATTACCGTATCTGGCGCTTGACATTACGCATGTAATGACTTGCAAGTCATTAAAAAATGAATGGCAAAAAAAGTAAATTTATTCTCAAGTTTACTATTATGTATCTACAAGAACACCATGAAAAAAAATTCATTTAAAAATAAGAGAATCACTGTTGTTTGAAAAAATTATATTTTATCTTATTTCTCATGCATCTTTTAGCATGCATATTCTAATATGAATTTTTAACGGACGGAAGACAATCGTTTCCTCCATCTTAAGAAAAAATATTTATCTTCATAATTAAGATTGGCAGAATTTCCCATCGCGTCTAACTTTGCTAAATTAATAAAAGGGGGTTGGAATTAAGACATGAAAATCTCAAGGTCTTCCCCCATCTTATGAAAGTTACAATATTCCGGATGACCCTATCTCTTCTACAATTATAGCTTTATACAGGGAGTGGAAATCCCGATCGAACTATTTAGCCGCCCTCAAAGAATCGTCCCTAGTCGGGGGGTGAACGAAGGGGGAGAAAGGGCGTAGATATCCTTCCGAGGTTGCTCGAGGCAGAGGTGCGTGGTGGAGGCCCATTTGCGATGCGGGTAACTCCACACCCCTCCCCCCCCCCCGAGATATCTTCCACCTTCGGCGGACTGCTTCCTATATACGTGTGCGCGCGGTGGGCGATGCACATGCAGCAAACGCAGGCAGAACCTATCTGCCATGCACGATCGCTCGGTTGCATATAGGCTGAGACGCGCAGCACGTCATTACGCGCGCGGAAAGCAAAAAGACGAGCGGCTTCACGGCCGGCCAATCGCCGTTCGCGTGCTAATGAATCTGAACCGACCCGACCAATGGCGGGGACCACCGCTCCCGCTTATGTGCCCGATGTAACCTTCGCAGCTACGTCGCGGAACCGGCCAAGGGTGTGGTGCCCTTCGATCGGGGGACTCGAGTATCGCACGAGATCGGGGTTGAGCGCGAATTACCGGGGAGTTCAGCGGCGCGATTTTTCGGCTGATAACGTTCACTGTGTTAACCGCTCGGGGTCAAAATATTAATATCATGTCGATGAGCGTAACAGTTTGTTAGATTTAAAATAGATAAGCTGATCTTGATTCGTGATTTTTTTATAATGCGACAATATTAAAGAAAAAAAAAGAAATGCATTTCTTTTGCAATCCTTTTTTAGTGCATCAGGTTTTTGATGACGGTATATCAATGTAACGGGATAATTCTCTGCGGCGGGACAACATAATAAAAATCAATGTTTCCTTTTTTTTCGAATAATTAAACATAAAATTTTTCCTACGTGGCCCTTGCTGTACGCGGATCATGTGCAACGCACGAGCGATCACTTAAAAATTAATTCGCATTATCAATAAATAACTACGTGCCGTCCCTGAGGCTACCCCAGAGGTGTAGTAGGTTGATGTCGGGGAACTCACGCGACTGTATGAATTTTTTATTATCTACCCCTATCCCATAAACATTATGCTCGCCCGTCGAGAAGGTTAAAATAAGCAATAAACTTAAATTTCATCTAAATCTCGATGCACAACGTCGAATCATCTCCCACGCATTCAGATATTCCTTTAAAAACAGTAATCAACGTACGCCGCCAACATTCGTTATTCACCATTGGATTCAATGAATCGAAGAGCGTTTCTTCTTCGAAGAAGCGCTTATTTTCATATCTTCGACGTCTCTTCGTGTCTCTTCGAGAACAAAGGTACAAATTCTCGCTGATATCATCCATGTGCGTTCTCTCTCGTTTTTCGAATTGCCAGCTGCCACGTACGAGACGTGAGCGTTGAGGGCCAAAGGGAGGAAGGCTTATCTGTAGGCTTCGGGAATGCCGCCTATACCCGCGATGTGACATATAAAGTGCCTGCATGCGCGCGTACACGAACGCACATTGCCGTGCAACACAACGGCGCGGCTTTGCTCTCGGTGCATGTACATTGCTGCCGCGATAGAGAGCGGCGCGGAGCGGTGCAACGGAGTCGGAGAGACGCTCAGGGCTATCATTATGGCGGCAGTAGACACTCCCTCCTTATCGCCGGTTTCCAGCACGAGTCCCAGACGAACGAACGAACGAACGAACGAACGAACGTACGTACGTACGAACGAACGAACGCTCGCAGCTTCGCTCGCTCGCCATCATTATGTTTTCCGCGGCGGGCAAGAACGCACAACGCCGAGAAAGAGAGAGAGAGAGAGAGAGAGAAAAAGAGAGAACAAATACTGTATTTCCGTATACATGTCCGTATGCATGTGCATGTGCACAAGCGCGCTGCGATGGAGAGACGAGTGCGTGCACACGGGCGTGGATACCAACGCGATACCAGTATCGAGCCTCGCGCGCGTATCTCTGTCTCCTCTCATTTTTTTTTTATTTTATAAATGTACCACCGCGAGCTCTTTGATGCTTCGCAGTTGATGCTTTGGAGAAAGGCCCCCTAAGCGTTTAGATAGAAAGTGAACCGAATTGTATCGCGAAGGAGAGGCCTCTAAATTTTGCAGCGTGCCATTTCGCTTGCCGTTATATAATATGGCAATATCTTTTTACCGGAGAACCGTGTTTACCTATGTAAAAAAAAGCGTTTCGCAGTAGGAAACTTGTATCTCGAAGAAGCATTATTTTTCATGGTGCAGTGCACCAGTATCAATGCAATTTCCAATTTCCAGAAAATACGAAGCGGCAATCATTCGCGACGACGGAAGAACCGCTATTCCATAAGAGTAACATGACGAGTAAGTGGGTACCGTCGATGTTAACGCAATGCACGAGATATGAATTAGATTCAGCTGTAGGGCTTATATATGTCGCTTTCTTAAACTCTTTTTTTTTACGACCACAAATATTACGGCGCATACATGAGCAGTAGCGGCGCACACGATCGCAACGACGTGACATGAACGGGTCACACACGGGTGTGGACCAGAACGCGGTCACCATTGAGCCGTACGTTCTTTCATTTCCTTAAACACAGCTCGGCGAGCTCTGATACTTTGTAATCGATAGTTGTGCGAAAGAGGCATAAGCATGTAGTAGAAACTGGACTGACCGGAATGGCAGACCGTAGAAGCGCGGACGTCTGTCATTACTGCGAATGATAATGGTTACTTAGCGTAGCGGTTTAGTTGTAACGTTAACGTTTGCTCTCTCAAGATTTAGTGAAAAAGCACGATTCTTTATAACTTCCAAATTTATATACATTCCACATAAAAATTTCTATAAAATGGATTTGATAAAAAAATTGATAATTTTGGAAAAAGATGATTTTATGATACCATTCAAATTGGAAACAAAAGCAAAAAAAATATTTTAATTATAAAATTATTTTTCGATATGACAGAAAGGAAAATTCCGCTATAAACACGCATCAAACTAGTATTTCATAAAAAAAATAATATATCGTGCATCATCTAATTGCACACGTGTCTTCGCGGAAACCATTTCTTTATTTTTTTTTCAATTCTTATATAGAAGACGTCATTATGCCTATAGACATCTTCTATAGGAGACGACTAGAGTGTTTCTGGCATACGGGCGTTTACATCGATAACGATATCAAGTCGAGTTATCACACGTCGATCGTCTCCCGGAAGAAATCGTAATTTTATCGAAAGGATCGAGATAACGTTCGATCGCGCGTATCGATTAAATACAATACGCGCGATCGTAATAATCCAAGATCAGATAATACTGAAGGCGATCGACTTCACGACGATGTGCGATCGTGGAAATAACTGTTCGCTAAGTTTGTTTAGATCGTTTCGATTATCACGACACGATCTAAAAGTTAATGTGCCAGCGAGATTGATTCTAACGGCAATTTCGATCTCGAATGCATCCGTAGAATCGATAGTACGAGATAATTACTGTGATTTATTTACTTCGTATAACATCTAAGCATCTAAACTTGAGCTCGCTTGCCACTTTATCAAATTTTGCTTTTTTTATCTGAGATATAGTTATTCTATTATTACGTATCCGTATTTTCAATCGCGCGTTGCCAATTATTTTTTTAAATAAGTATACTTCACTACTTTTAATACAATTAAGGCCCGATATAATCAGTGCATCAATAATGCTTATACAGGTAAACAGATAATTTGTTGCAATTTATTTCTTACAATTCTTATGATTGTAAAATACATTTTATAGATTATTATATTTATTAATCATTGCCAGCTATTGTTTTTGTAATATAAGATATTTTTTTACAAAAATAATTTTAATTTAATAGTTTTGTGAGATGAGAATAAAATTACCGCTTGATATTTTGGTTTATATAATAATTTTGAATATGCAGCAAATTTAATCTTATGTAACTATTTTAGCGCAAAAGAATAATCCTTACCTTTCGCTGAGTCTCTTTTGTCTGGTCCTTGTGAAATGGTTTCTTAAAGATATTTCTGAAAATTCAAGAATGTCCTTCGCAGACGGGCAGAAACTTTCAGGTATCCGTAAACTATCAGCTCTTAAACGACAATTATTTTCCAGTTCTCAAGTCGTAAACACTGCAGCCCAATAAGGTCTCCAAGTTTTGCGAAACTCGACAATATCTGCAACATCTGAATTGAAATATTAAAAATGATTATTATAGTTAACTATTATGATATCAAATTGAAAATTTGAAAATTTAAAAACAGAACAATTTTGTGAGTTTCTTATTTAGATAAGTTATTTTATTGTTTTTTATATTAATATAGTGTTTTGTTTTCTGAGAGTTCTTTTAACGAGTTTTATTTTATAAATATACTTTAAATATACTTTATTCAATATTAACACGGTAAAAAGAGAAATATTTTCTCAATTTTTAAAGTTTCATTGTAAGAATGATATTCGCATAAAATTGACATTTAAAGAACGGAGATTTTGTATTCTTGCGTAATTAAAGTGACATGTTACAGTTACAGTAATACATACATAAATTTATATGTTATCTCGTTTACATTCAATATATCACTTTGAATACTTCGTCTTTTCTTATAATAATATGACAGTCACCTGTGTAATCACCTGTTAATAAGTGATGCTTTTCTTCATCCAACTTGCGATAGACGAGAAAATTCTTGATGAATAAACATTCGTTGATGATATTTACGATGATATTTACGTAATCTCTAGCAACTTCATATATTCTCTTCATCGGAAAATGCGATTATTCAATCTTCTTTCAATTTTCTATTACTCTTTCCTCCATTTGAAAGCCGGATAAATTTTCCGCCAATTTACTTTTGTATAAAAAAAATCTTCCATTACATATGATTGCAACGTATCGATAATTATAACCTTATTAAGAAAATTCTTCTATCGACAAACCTGAGCGTGGTAACAATCGGCTCATGGTTTGCCAATTCCGCAACAACAACAATATCGAATGTACAAGGAGCAACATGTGCGCCATACTAGTGTCTACATCTCGTACAACACGCACGACCTTTTCACTGGAATTCATCGAGGGCCACTCTAAACAAAACCACTGGCAATGCTACGTAACAATGCTAACGTATCGCGTACTGTCGACGATACATCACAATCGATCCACAAAATAAGTCATCAGAAACGCAAATGGTGATCGTTATCTAGTTTTTCATACGATGAGCATCGATATTAGCATTTGAGCAGGATGCTAATCATTGTTTGATCTCCTTTTCAAATAATTTTTAATATAATTAATCGATTATTAATCAGGACAATAGATCACAAAATCTCTAGCGAGTAGCTTCACTACGTTACACCTGTCTTGAGTAACACACGTGAGCAGTCGCCATGTTCCATCGCACAATACACTCGTATGATAAAGGATAAATTGAAGAATAAAAAGAAATGAAAAAGGGAACGTCGTAGTTCACTCTGAGGGACAAGTATCGCGATAACGTGATGTGAATATTCCGGAAGTATGGCCTCGATATGGCTTCGGTAACTTTCTTCCGACCGCTACTTTTTTTTTGTGCTCGCCCCGACTGACCGCCATGTCTCGGTCACTCACACCACGAAGAAAGTTCTCCACCGCAAAATCGAACTCGAATGAAGAAGAGGAAACGCGCTCTGCCGTGCAAGCAGGAGCATGTGACAATCCGCTCGCATCGAGGACCGAGGAGAGACTCTATAAGGTGGTTTCCATCCCCCAATAGCGCGGCTGGCGCGCTGGTCCCGACGCTGCAATCATTCCCCGGTAATGATTGTCATTACCGGGCACGGGAGGGCGAGCGAGAGCGGGTGGACGAACGGAGCAGAGGGATTGGCCTGCATTGCGATTGCGTTTCTGTCTGGTCCCATTGGCCGACAAACTGCGACTACGGACGCGTCTGTCCCTCGACGGACGATACGGCGACCTGCACCGGGTGGTGGAGGCTAAGTAATATTCCCCTTTTTTGGATAATCTTTATTTGATAGGAATCGACCGTAATCGCGGGCTTCGATTGTTGAGCCGCAAGTATTTTCAGGGAGGGACTCCGGCCGATGAAGATTGTGTTTATCGATTTTTGCTGTTCGCGAAGAGAGGAGCAAAAGTAAGCACCAGTTACGTTTTTTGCGACCCGCAGGCGGTAGACTTTCATTAAAGAGTCAAGGATATAAAGCTTATAAAATATTATTAATGTAATTCTTTGGAAAATAAAATTATTTTAATACTTATATTTAATTGCATAACAAAAATGTTTTAAAAAATTAATCTAAGTATATTAATAAATTTAATTAACGTTATTATGTTTTCAAATTGCATTTATAGAATTATAATAATAATAAAAAGATACATTACAGATCATTGTAAATTGCCAAAGAAAAAGTTAGTCAAGATTATATAATTTCTGTAATAACAATGTAAATTTATATAAACCTAAGTGTGACTTTTAGAGGAACGTACTACCCTGAGCGAAAGCAACCCTCATGTCGTCCCGCGCCCATTCATTATTACTTCTGTAGCACTCATGTGTGGCCATTGAGCGAAATGCAAGTAGCAAATTAACCTGAGATGCCCGGCTAACTTTTCTGAATGAGAGATTACTGACTCATTCGTTCGCAGAATCGTTTAGTACCTTTTATAATGTCTGCCTCATGTTACATCAGCTTTTTTACATCACCAATGATGAATACTTGATTCAGTGATCTGATGATGATTTATTCTGAAGTCCTTTTCTATGGTAAATGGTTTTTAATGTATCGTGAGAAGAATTCAATTTACACTTTTAATCCTTTTCATATTTTATAAAACTCTATTCAAGATTCATTCAATTTTATTTATATATGTATATGTGCATGTATACAAGTACTATGGCTTATCAAAATGTACTTAATATTTTTTAAAATTTATGTAACTTTAGTATTTTATAATGTTATTTGCTATATTTTTTCAGCGCCTTCAATTTTATGTTAGATATTCTTTCTCATCAATTTTTTTAGTATTATACTTGTATTAATGATTATCGATTGTAATCGTGAAGTATGCAATTAATAAATTTGCTGAACCAGATATTATCAATGATTCAGCTATACGAATTTAAAATGTCGATAAAAAGAATGAAAGTTAACCCAAGAGTGAAAAGCACGAAAGCATCAAGAGGACACATCAAAGCAACACAGATATCATGGTAGGGGTCTTTCATGGTAGCTATTATCGCATTACTTCCGCATGGCCGAACGTCATTTACCTCACACTCCCGCAATGATTTGAGGGCAACCGAACTATCGACTCAACCCCTCGCGTGCGCGACTGTTGGGACCATTGTATTCCAGCAGCATTGGTCCGTTGTCAAGTTCACTGTTAAAGCAATCAGCAGTACATTTTTATATTCTATCAAAAACATATCATTTATATATTAAATGTAAAAAACAAATTATTTCATATTATATTAATTATTCTTTTAAATAAAAATATTTAATTAAAATAAATAATTTAGAATTAAATTCATTAAAATCTTCAATTTCTTCATTTTTTTTAGTATTTTAAAAGTTGACAATTCTTTCATTGATAACTTATTTGAACAAAAAAAAAGAATAATTTAAGATATAACTCATATGAAAAAACGTAAAGTTAGTCATTTATCATTATTTTGTGTATTTCTTTCGTCATTTTAAAAGCGCAGTGTCGTCCGCATTCCATTCCTGCAAAGTACACGATGCACTTTCGAGGCAAGGTAGAAAATCAATCCGTGTCGTCTCTTAAAATCCACGCGGAGGAAAATCGGAACGATCTCACGCTCGATTATCTTCGCGGGCGACATTATCAAGCCATTAGGGACCGCCGTCAGGGCTTACCGATGACGCTCTCGTTGCACTACCGACTCGTCATCGGATTCGAAATTCCAACGTGGGCGGACGCGATGAAATGGCTTGTCTCCCTTCTGAGAGTTTCTCCTTTCCATCTCATCCTCATTCTTGTGCTCTTCTCCATCGCGACTCGCACCTCCTCGCGCGACGATTCACATTAAGCACTTCGCAACGACAATTTGTGATACATTTGTCGGAGACGCGGACGCACCTCCCTGCGAAAAGTTTCTCGAAGGAGAGTGATAAAAATTTTTTCCGCTAATGCCATCGACAAATCTTATATTCACAATGTTCGCTTAATACTTCTGCTTTTTATTCTTAAGAGACATATATTTTTTTTAACAGAAAGAAGAAAAAGATGTCATTTGCTGCTCAAATAAGACTGTAGAATGATGCTACATTAATTTTGAAAAGCATATATATTCTATAGATGATATAAATATAATTACAAGTTTATTGAAAGATCAGTTATACATTAAATAATTACTTAAATAATATATATTAAATAATATTATAACTGATCGAATTGAATATATCATCTTCAATAAGTCGAATATATTATCTTCAATAAATTTATCATACATCGACACTTCAAATAATATTAATTAGTATTTATATTAGAATGTTTATTTAATCACTCTTCTTTTATAGGCATCTGATTGGAATTCCGGATTGGGTATTTATAACAGTAGCTTGTAACAGCAGACGATAATTGAGCTTATCCTCAAAAAGCGCCTATCAACGCTCGGATTACAAAGCTGCTTTCCAAGCGCGCGGCCGAGTAGGAATCCGCGAAAGTTGTAACTCGAGCAACGAATGCGCTCGTGGATTGTTAATTAGGAAACCCAAGTTTGCGAGGTAATCAGGAATCGCATTTCACCGGTGTACCGATGTACCGCGCACGAAGTCGATTCATCAGCGGGGCGAACGGTTGTCATGGGGATGCGACCCGCCCTTTATGCCAACCCCATGCAAACCTGCGCATTTCTCGAAAACTGCTTCCCTCACCTTTCGAATACACGCGAAAACGCAGTTCCTCTAGATATATGGCCACGAAATTTCTCTTCGCACCGTTTACTTCCCTAATTGCTATTTCGGAACGAATATTACCCGCTATTTAGAATAATAAATGCGACAAATATATTTAAGTAATATAACGAGAGATAATAATATAATATTTCAAATATAATGTGCAAATATAACCGTATAGCCGTAATATAGCCGTAAATATAATTACTCGGATATGATTATTATATATTTTATTATATATTATATTTATTATATTTATTATATTTATATTTATTTTTATTTATTTTTATTATATTTATTATATTTATATTTATTTATTATATATTATTATATATATTATTTTTGGATAATTAATACAATTTTAACAAATACAATTTTCATAAATAAGAAATAATATATTTAATTTCTTTTTCTTTAATAAAATATTACAAATAATGATTGAGATGTATTGAATTTTTTAGAACACTAAGAAACATCTTTCTCACGAGAATGTCAAAATATTGGGGAATTTCCAATTACGCGAAACAAAACGGTGCAACAACACAAGAGAGAAACAAAAAAATAGCTTCGTCATACTGCGGCATTTCAAGTATCTCACCAAAAGAGACTTAAAAGCTTTCTTGCCATTTAAGGACTCGTAATAATCTCCCACAGTGTCTCGGATGCTCATGGGGAGAATCGTTTATCAAGTGCAACGATCTCGTTCACACGAAGATTTTCTGAGATATCGATCTTTGTAAGCTAATCCTTATTCACTAAAGTCATTCCTATATGGAGAGTTTTATTTTGAATATTCTTTTCTTTTGCATTATTTTATTTTTTGCGGCTGAAATTTGCGTTAATTATTTTAAGATATTATAAACTGTCGGTGACCAATTTAAATTATCATTGCTTTAATAGGCAGTTCTGTGGTTAAAAAGATACCTACGACGTCTTCTTTCATCCGTCTAAGTCTATAAGTATCTATAATTGTACGGTAAACGGACACACTCGTAAAATTAATCGTTTCCGGTACCAGACAAGTCTACAGACTCCCGTTTTGGTGTTGAACGATGAAGATCCGCACCTCGCCTACGCTCATACCATGCCGCTAATTTCGATCTTTTTTCCTCTCTGACTTTGTGCAATGCTCCCACGATGTGTACAGGTGGCACTCCTTAAAATTATAAGATATCCGTTATATCCTTTCTATTTGAACTGTGATGTATCTATTCGCTGCTTGTCTTTTTGAAATAAAAATAAAGATTTAATTTATAAATAATAAAAATTAAAAATGTATATAATTGGTAAGAACTTAAATAATTGGTAATAAATCAATTCACATTGAATCATTCGGATGGTAAATGAATAAAAGTGAACGAACACGCAAAAATCTTGAAATACATTTAATTCAGCGCTGAAAGGATTGATACACCGTAATGCATCTTCCACCTGTCGTCACATCACGAGTAACATCGTTCAAGTTACATTGTACCGCTTTCTTTTCTTCGAAGTTACGCGGCGAGGCCAATGTTGCTTCGCCGTTCGACTCAATACGCCTGAACCACCAAGATGAGAAGAACCTCCTGCTGTGTGTTGTCGGCTACCCAGCTACCTGCCGTCCTCTCTTGAGGTTCGCCTAAGGCTTCGCATTCATCATCGCGGACCACCTCCGGTGACATATGACGTATCGAGATTAACGCGGCGTCCGCGTCCGGCAGCTCCTTCTTACGCTTATCGAAATTCCAGCGCAACAGTTACGCGTTCTTTAGCCTCATCTTACGTTTACGCGAGATTAATTATCTATGTCGCGCATTTCCACGAAAAAATTATCATTATAGACATTTCTTGTATTACGAATGTTATTACACATGTTTCCTCAGTCAATGATCGTTGACGATTACA